TTTCTGGTCGGGAGTTGATCACAGTGAGGGTTTGCCAAGCATGCCTTCCTCTTAGCGCATTTCTCCCTTTCGTCCTGAGTTTGAGCTTCTTCAAAACCCATGACACATTTGGTAAAGGCTGTTCTCCAGTTGGAGTGCTCGCAGGCCAGTGTTTCCCAGTTGTCAGTGTTTATACTAATTTTTTTTAGATTTGCCTTGAGAGAATCTTTAAACCTCTTTTGTTCATCACTAGCATTAAGCTTTCCATTTTTAAGTTCGGAATAGAGTAGTTGCTTTTGAAGACATTAATCAGGCATCTGCACAACATGACCAGTCCAACAAAGCTGATGTTGAAGAGTCCTAGGAATAATGGGAATGGAGGTCCCAAAAAAGCAGACTAATTTATTTTTGCACATGACAACAGCTGCTAGAACTTTATATGTACAGAAGTGGGAAGAAGGGTCACCAACCAAGGAGGAATGGCTTATAAAACGGATGGACTATGCTGAAATGGTGAAGTTGACTGCTAAATTAAGAGGACATAATGATGAAATGTTTAAGGAGCAATGGAGACCATTGATGGATTACCTATCAAACTATCACCCATACATGAAGTTGCAGGCAGGATATAAAGTATAAGCAATGGATTATTGAAAGAACCAATGATTTGGGGTTTAGACAATAAAAACATATGTGTTATAAGGCAGCTAATAAAAAGGAGTAAAACAAGCAAACATCAGGAAATATGGGGTGGGGACTCAAGAAGAAACTACGTATGTTTTTAAAAATTTGTATATGATGATAAATGCTTTGAAATATTTTTGGAGAATGAATAAAAAAGCACCGGTATACGGGGGGAGAACATAAGAGATGCTTGAATGTTGGCATTTTGGTACAGAGGCTCCCTTGGGAATCATTGTACACAGCAATGTTTAATTAAAGGTTAAGGGACCCCTGACCATTAGGTCCAGTCACAGACGACTCTGGGGTTGCGGCACTCATCTCGCTTTATTGGTTGAGGGAGCCGGTACAGCTTCTGGGTCATGTGGCCAGCATGACTAAGCTGCTTCTGGCGAACCAGAGCAGCGCACGGAAACGCCATTTACCTTCTCACCGGAGTGGTATCTATTTATCTGCTTGCACTGGACATGCTTTTGAACTGCTAGGTTGGCAGGAGAAGGGACCAAGCAACAGAAGCTCACCCCGTTACGGGGATTCGAACCGCCGACCTTCTGTTAGCAGCCCAAGATTTCTTATCAAGGATAAACACTCCAAAGAGCCACTTTTCACATTATTTCATTTTTTGATGATGTTTATAAAAATGTATGCCCTGATTTTTACCCTTGGCAACAGTGCTGCTCAAAGCATTAAAAAAAACAAAAAACCCCTCACCCTAATTCTAACCAATAAGCAATAGCAGTCAGCATGGGAGTTGAGATCCCATGAACTCCCAGCACTGGTATTGCTGTGGCTGACCAGGAAGGAGATGGAGAGTGAGACCAGCATGGAACAAACAGAATGTAAGTCCTGAGAGGCTCGTTGGCTCATTTTTTCTTATGCCCAAAAAGTAATAATAATGTTTAAGCAGGTTTTTTGGTTTATTGGATAGATAAATTTGATCCCCTCCCACTGTCTCTGTTTTATCTGTTGTACGTGTCTCAGAGGTGTGTGTGTGTGTGCGTGCATGTGTGTGTGCGTCTGTGTGGGTGTGTTTTTGAGTGCGTGTGTGTGCGCGCTGAATATTCTACCTGGTTTCCATTATTCTTTGCTGCTTTCACTGGTATGTAAGCATAAGAATGCTGGGATATAAATATCTGCATTAAATATAAAAAGATACAGTGGTACCTCGGGTTAAGTACTTAAGTCATTCCGGAGGTCCGTTCTTAACCTGAAACTGTTCTTAACCTGAAGCACCACTTTAGCTAATGGGGCCTCCCGCTGCTGCCGTGCCACCGGAGCACAATTTCTGTTCTCATCCTGAAGCAAAGTTCTTAACCCAAGGTACTATATCTGGGTTAGCGGAGTCTGTAACCTGAAGCTTCCGTAACCTGAAGTGTCTGTAACCCGAGGTACCACTGTAATAGCAAAGCAAGGAAACAGCAGCAAAAAATATAAAAATGCCAAATAAGATGGGTCAAGTATAATATTATGTTTTGTAAGGAAGGGGACCAATGTTATTGCCAGAGCACATGCTCTGCATGTAGAACGTCCCAGGCTGGATTCAGACCCTGGTGAATCCAGAAATATGGGCTCAGATGGCTGGTAAAGTCTCTCTCCAGGCCTGGCAAGAGGAGGGATCAAGAGATGCTGCTGTACTGGACCCAGAGGCAGCAGAGACCCAATTCTCAGATTATTATTTTTTTGTAACAAAATGAATAGACTCCAGCCCTTGTAGAATGAGAGATACAAAGAAAATGTTCAAGCGACACACTAATCAATTGCAAATGCTGCTCCCGCCTTTCTGCGTTTTTGGCCAATGAGTGAAGCCATGGTTTGATTGATGAGCACTATAGAAAATACTAGAGTCACGCATCCATCAGTTCAGTATCGCCTACTCTGAAGGGCAGCAGCTTTCCAGGATTTCAGGCAGGGAATTTTTCCCCCAGTTCTTTCTGGAGATGCCAGAGCTGGAACCTTCTGCATGCAAAGCAGATGCTCTGCCACCGAGCTGTGGCCCTTCCCCACGTACAGACCCACCAAGCAACTTTCATCATTGGAAATCAAAAGCTTCACACGCGGACACCCAAGCACATACCCCACCATGTCTGCTTGCCGTACAGAAAAAGAAAAGGGAAGAAAAAACTGGTGCAGTAAACCTCATGAATTACACAGTGTTCTCCCTGGAAAACAGAATTGCATAATATGTTGTTATACTACTGCACGTAGTAAAAATCATTCTTAGGTTTCGGAGCCAGAAAAAACAAGACATGAAAGGACAAACTGACTAGAAGTTCGCCGCTTTGGACCAGGGAAGGGTATCTGGCAAGATCCTGTTGCTTTTAGTCCATGTGTTTTTCATTTGATTTAGTTCATGTAAGGTTCTTTCAAGGGACATGATTGAAAACGCAACGGAGCTCTGTAGGAATCGGAGCTGTGTGAGTTTGAGAAACTCACTGGGCCAATCAGCTTGTTTTTTCCACTAAATCTAAAAGGCTTGAAAGCTTACACTTCATTATGATGAATATTGGGGGAGTGGGGTTATGAAGCATTTTATGCAAGCAAGTTAGCATGTGAGGACATGGATAACGCAGTTTTGTTCCCTTCCTATGTTCTTCTTGTTACCTTTCTTCTCTTCAACCAAGACAAGTCCATTAAAAAGGGGGGAAGGAGAAGCATTTGGAGATGTTCCATCAAGCTTTCTGTTGTTTCTTCACCTTTTTACATTTCCATGATAAGATCACTGAGAAGGGTCCCTTCCAACTTTGCAATTCTATGACTCTATGGTTCTATATGCAGCTGGAAGGGACCTCAAACATTTCCAAAGCATTGTGCATCCTCATCTCCACCAATGACTGACCACCTTGAATAGTATCCAAGGGTAGGAATAATAGGATCATAAAATTGTAGCGTTGGAAGATACCACAAGGATCACCTATGCAATGCAGGAATCTTTTGCCTGATATGGGACTCAAACCCACGTCCCTGAGATTAAGAGTCTCGTGCTCTACCTACTGAGCTATTCCAGCTGTCTACCTCAAGGGCAAGTTGGCAGTGCCTCTGGCATTAAGCAGAGGAGAGAGGGTTTTGGTGCAGATGTGGGAGGGTTGCTCATACCTTTCTCATCTACTATAATAGCCCCTAGCACATCCTCTGAATACATAAGTATGGATAAGGAGGGGAAGTTGGGAGGGCAAGGGCAAGCTGCTGAGTATACTGGAATACTCTCCATGCTCTAAGTGTCTATATGTGTGTATATGTACAGCTAAACCAAATTGTATTAATCAAGGTTAGGTAATTATTTATTATATTATTTATTAAATATATATCCCATATAGACCATAAAGAAGGCTGATCACCGAAGAATTGATGCTTTTGAATTACGGTGCTGGAGGAGACTCTTGAGAGTCCCATGGACTGCAAGAAGATCAAACCTATCCATTCGGAAAGAAATCAGCCCTGAGTGCTCACTGGAAGGACAGATCCTGAAGCTGAGGCTCCAATACTTTGGCCACCTCATGAGAAGAGAAGACGCCCTGGAAAAGACCCTGATGTTGGGAAAGATGGAGGGCACAAGGAGAAGGGAATGACAGAGGACAAGATGGTTGGACAGTGTTCTCGAAGCTACAAACGTGAGTCTGACCAAACTGCGGGAGGCAGTGGAAGACAGGAGTGTCTGGCGTGCTCTGGTCCATGGGGTCACAAAGTGTCAGACACGACTAAACAACAACAAATGATATGGACAGTTTTGTTTCCAGTTCCTTTCCATATGATGCCCCAAGTAGATTTTGGCTTTTTTTAACAGCTGCCACACACTAGGTCAACATCTTTCTGGAGCTATCTACTATGACCCCCTTCCTGGTCAGTCAAAACCAGTTCAAACCACACGAGCGTATATGTGAAATTAAGTTTTTGCCGTGACATGCATCACTTTATACTTGCTTACATTTGTTCATTTGGCCATTTGGCTACCCTTTTTTTATCACCCATTCATGGTTAGGAGAGGTCCTTTTGGAGTTCCTCACAATCTCTCTTTATTTTAACAGCAATTTGTATCACCAGCAAAGATTGAGGGCACAAGGAGAAGGGGGTGACAGAGGACGAGATGGTTGGACAGTGTTCTCGAAGCTACCAGCATAAGTTTGACCAAACTGCGGGAGGCAGTGGAAGACAGGAGTGCCTGGCGTGCTCTGGTCCATGGGGTCACGAAGAGTCAGACACGACTAAACGACTAAACAACAACAATATATATATATTGTTAAATATAATAATATATGAACATGGGAAGCTGACTTCTACTGAGTCAGGTGCAATGAGATCATTAGTATCTGTAATTCACTGGTAGCAGCTCTCCAGCATTTCAGAGGAGATGCCAGGGACTAAACGTGGGACCCTCTGCATGCAAGGCAGATACTCTACCACTGGGCTACATTCCTTCCCCATCCTTGCAAGGAGCCCAGAGCTGCAAACATACAAATGAAAAACACCTAAAAACAATTCCAGTACAGTTCCAGACTGGGAAAGGTCACTACTTAAAAGGCTTCTTTGATGAGGAAGGTCAACAGACCACAGAGACAGCACCTTTCTAATATTTAACGGGAAGGAATTCCAAACGGTAAGTGCCATGCCACTAAAAGTTGAATTCCTATAAGGTAGAACCTCAGTTTACGTTACCTTCGGGTTGCGAAAGCAGCAAACAGAATGCACAGACGCGCTTTTCACGCCGCACGCATGCACAGAAGCACTTTTTTGCTCCGTGTGTGTGCGTGCACAGAAGTGGCACCTCCAGTTGTGGAAACCTAGGGATCCGACCAGAGCTCTGGAATGGATCCTGTCCGCAACCGGAGGTACCACTGTATTAGGGGAACAGACCTCCTGATGAGATGGCATCTGCAGGAGGCCCTCACTTGCAGATTTAATGCACAGCCTAGCATAATGCATAGCCATGTGCAAAAAAGAATGACCTTTCTGGAGTTAAACACACTCAGTTCCCATTGATTTCAGTAGGTGAGTTAGTCACAGAAATGTCAGATCACTGGCCCACCAGCAGGCCGGCAGAGAATCTCCCAGGTTTCAGAAAGGAGTCCTTCTCAGCCCTACTTGGAGATGTCAAGAATTGGACTGGGGACCTTATTTATGGTCAAACCATGGAGCTAGGCACTTCCACTGATTTTAGTGGAGGAGTTAAGCACACGCTCAACACTCTTCCAGTGGGACTAACAGAATTTGCAAATACTGAATCATGCCCTAGATATTCCGGCCACAGGATGAAGATGATGCATAGAATCTTTGAATCAACCATTCACTCATTCCCCACTCCATTGTCAAAGCAATGATTCTTCAACATCAACTTGGCTGGACTGTTCATGTTGTGCAGATGCCTGATTATCGGCTTCCAAAGCAACTACTTTATTACGAACTTTAAAATGCAAAGTGTAATGCTGGTGGTCAACAAAAGAGGTTTGAAGACTCTCTCAAGGCAAATCTAAAAAAAATTGTAGTATAAACACCAACAACTGGGAAACACTGGCCTGCAAACGCTCCAATTGGAGAACAGCCTTTACCAAAGGTGTCGTGGGCTTTGAAGACACTCAAACTCAGGACAAAAGGGAGAAATGTGCTAAGAAGAAGAGTTTGGATTTGATATCCTGCTTTATCACTACCCAAAGGAGTCTCAAAGCGGCTAACATTCTCCTTTCCCTTCCTCCCCCACAACAAACACTCTGTGAGGTGTGTGAGGCTGAGAGACTTCAGAGAAGTGTGACTAGCCCAAGGTCACCCAGCAGCTGCATGTGGAGAAGCAGAGACGCGAACCCAGTTCCCCAGATTACGAGTCTACCGCTCTTAACCACTACACAACTCTGGCTAAGAGGCATGCTTGGCAAACCCTCACCATGATCAACTCCTGCCTGGAAACCTATGTCCCCACTGTGGAAGGACATGTGGATCCAGAAGTGGCCTTCACAGTCACTTACGGACTCACTGTTAAGACCGTGTTCATGGAAGAAAATCTTACTCGGCAACGAGTGATCGCCAAAGAAGACTCCAGTTAGAACATGCAAAACAGACCTCCCTCCTTTGTGAGTAGACAGCACATGGCCCAAGCGCCCCATATGGTTTGGATGAAAGCAGTCACAGATAATCCTTTGTCGCTTGTTTCTTAAGAGGATCCAGTAGCCTGTGCCGGTTCCGCCACACATTTCTTATTAGACAAGCAACCATCAGTTAAGTCTGTGCAACAAAATGCATCATTTAGAGGTGACACTGTATTAGAACATTCTGAATTCCCGAAAGTCCAGTAGCTGACATCCTAGCAGGGCAACTTGGATAAGGAAGCAATCGCTGGCTTGAGCATATTTTATTATACAGCAGTTAGCAACAGTTTTGGATTAAACCTTTCTGTAAATATTATAAACCTGCTTGTTGAAAATTAATAGAGTTATCCCAAAGGGGTTATTGCTGTCTATCCATCATGTGCAGTTAATTCCAAGTGTTATTTCATATTTTCACCACTGTGTGGATGGATAGATCTTCTTCTTCTTTTCTTTCTTTTTGGTCTGTCAACAAATGATTTGTTATTTTGTTTACATTTTTCAACTTGGAAGAGAAGCTAGAATGAACAAATAGAAAGCGAGTTATTTGGTGAGAAGACAAAAACCTGCTTCGTGGTGTTATACCAGCAATACATGAAATGTAAAATACTAACCCTCTTCAACCAACAGGGTTTCTCCCTCCCCCCTTAATTAATATACAGTGGTACCTCAGGTTACAGACGCTTCAGGTTAAGGACTCCGCTAACCCATAAATAGTGCTTCAGGTTAAGAACTTTGCTTCAGGATGAGAACAGAAATCGTGCCATCATGGCACGGTGGCAGCGGGAGGCCCCATTAGCTAAAGTGGTAGCTCAGGTTAAGAACAGTTTCAAATTAAGAACGGACCTCCAGAATGAATTAAGTTCTTAACCTGAGGTACCACTGTACAATGTTAAATTGTAATGAAAGGAATTAAAAAAGAAATGCCTTGCAGGAAAATCATGAGAAAATTTAACTATCTGCATTACGCAACGTTTGCTTGTTAGCCTCAGTTGCCATTTTAAAAATGGAAAATATTTAATTCAGTGGAAATGTAAATTTGTGCTAACTTCCTGGAATAAGTATACATTCTTTAGAGTAGACGCATGTGATACTCATTGAAGCATATAGGAAACTACTAAAATATTTTTTTCCTGGGCATGGCAATAAAACCTCTACCATGGATTGGTTGCACTGCAGTGATGTCATGGAATATTCATGAATAGTCTGCCGTTTGGGTGGAGAACTGGACCCTCCCAGTGGGCCAGATCTTGACCTCCCCCAATCCCCAGGGTCAGCTTTGTCAGGTTGGTGGAGCCACCCACCAGCCAACTGCCCAAGGTCATAAGTGTTGGAGTTTAGTAAATATATTGCAGTGTGGTGCAGAAAGAAATAACCTGGTAAGACTGATGGCTGAAAGGATAAAGAAAACAGAAGGTTTATTATGCATGGCAAACAAGGGCTTCACGTGTCTCCAAAATGGAGTCACAAATGGGTAAACTCATACTGCAGCTCCCTCAAACAAGCTGAAGTTGGAGAAGAAGCAGGAAAGAAATAAAAGTCTGAAAGAGAGTAATCTACTTTACCAACAAATAGTTACTAAAAGAGAAGGAATCGGGGAGGAAGAACAGGTGTCTGTCACCGCCACCTCCACCCTGCTTCAGGCAACCTATTGCAAGTGTTGTTGGTTTATTCTCAACAGCATCAAGTAATCCATTTTTTGCCAGGACAGATGCATGCAAGCCTGACCACAGGGCTTGACTGCTTTGCACTGTAAAGCACTGAAACAGTCTCATGGGTTTGGATGTGGGACTAGTTAGGCCTGTTGGTCAGAGGCCACCCACCCCTGGGGTAGGGCATTCTAAGCACTTTCAGCCAAGCCCACAAAGATTGCTCCTTCAGGCCTCTGGTGTAGTGGTTAAGAGCAGTAGACTTGTAATCTGGGGAACCAGGTTCGCGTCCCCGCTCCTCCACATGCAGCTGCTGGGTGACCTTGGGCTAGTCACACTTCTCTGAAGTCTCTCAGCCCCACTCACCTCACAGAGTGTTTGTTGTGGGGGAGGAAGGGAAGAGAAAAGAGATTGTTAGCCACTTTGAGACTCCTTCGGGTAGTGATATAGCGGGATATCAAATCCAAACTCTTCTTCTTCTTCTTCTCTCCATTCAATACATGAAAGATGGAAATGAAGGCCGAAGGGACATGGATGCTGGGAGTAGGGTTAGGATGCCTTCAAGACACAGGGAATATTGTGTTAGTTTTCCTGGTTACAATGCTAGGACTTGTGTCCTGTTTTCTAAGTCTCCTTTTGCAGTGCAGTACATGACCTGACCATTAGGTCCAGTCGTGGCCGACTCTGGGGTTGAGGCGCTCATCTCGCTTTACTGGCCGAGGGAGCCGGCGTACAGCTTCTGGGTCATGTGGCCAGCCTGACTAAGCCGCTTCTGGCGAACCAGAGCAGCGCACGGAAACGCCGTTTACCTTCCTGCAGGAGCGATACCTATTTATCTACTTGCACTTTGACGTGCTTTCGAACTGCTAGGTTGGCAGGAGCAGGGACCGAACAATGGGAGCTCACCCCATCGCGGGGATTCGAACCGCCGACCTTCCGATTGGCAAGTCCTAGGCTCTGTGGTTTAACCCACAGCGCCACCCGCGTCCTAAGTGCAGTACATACCTGTTGTGTTATGCAAAGGCGGCTTTTTGACCAATATACTGGCACGTCATGCTAAATTTCCTTCACATGCATGGGCATGGTGTGACCAGGGGTGTAGGAAGGGGGGGCAGATCTCACTGAGGGGAGTGACATTGGGCGCGCCACCTGCCGGTGCCACCCAAGCCTGCCCCAAGCTTTTGCGGTAAGCAGGGAGCTGCGCCACTTTGCCGGTGGCATTCAACCCTTCCCCCTTCGTTTTGACAGCTTGGAGGAGGCTTGGGAGTTGCGGGTGGGCGGCATACTGAATATCCACCATGGGCGGCTCACTCCGCCCCCATGGATGGCTCACTCCACCCCACAGCTGCAAGGCGCGCACACCGCTCCGGGAACCCGAGTGGCTATCCTGTGCCTGGGAGGGCACCATCAGGAGGGTGCCCACCCTGGGCAGCATGGACATATGCTCCACCACTGGGCATAGTTGTCAACATTTCCCTTTTTTAAAGGGAAAATCCCTTATTCCGAATAGGATTCCTCGCAAGAAAAGGGAAAAGTTGACATCTATGCCGCTGGGTGTGACACAGCAACAACCCATTCTGCACCTGCGTAATTCTGTTTCCCCATGATTTGCCCCGTGAAAACAGCAGGAAAGGATTGTATGTTGGTCTCTTTTCTCACAGGTTTTGTCTCTTTACTTCCACTGTTTCCCAGGTTAAAGA